GACAAGCATACACCGGACAAACGTTTTTAGGATCTCGGCACTGCAAGTATAGGCAGGTGCACAGATATTAAATAAGGATTATCTGCCCATACTTCGTACAAGATGGAACATTTCTGGGATAAACTGGATGCAGGCGCCATCATAAAGGCTTGTATCCTGTACTGTTAAATCAACCTTTCAAACTCTCCCTTTTACCTACGCATACATAGTGTCGATGGGTATATGTCAAAATTTAGGTCTGCATTAGGGTCCTTGGTCTTGAAGATGCGAAAGAATCGTGCGTGTACTTGGTACTCCATGGGTAGTTTACAAGTTTGTTAACGCAATGACCACCAAGTACATAAGCCAGTTACCTATCTAGATAATGTAGTTACTATCCGCGGTACGCTACCTACATTATTACCTTTCACATGACGTATTTAGGCGAGGCATTCTGATAGTTTATTTGCACCTCAACTCATTGGGCGGACGAAGCGGAGAAAAAGGTACTTGTTGCCGCCAATGCCTTACCTAAACGTCAATGTCAATAATTAATAACGTCGAGTCATATCCGACAAATGGCGAATTTCCGGTGCCTCATCCGTACCACAATGTGCCAGCCTTGGCTTTAACTTTCTCCAGATCAGACGAATCCACAGTTTGCAAAGTTTCCTACTTCATAATTGTCCTTGTCTGGTAGGTATTCCCCGGACCCTAACCCAGCCCAGTGCCCACTCCAACCCCCAATCCGGTGCGAGGCGATCAATGTTCCAGTCTTATCTGTGGTCTCCAGATTCCAGGAAGCACGAGTCGTTCCATCTGCTGCGGAGAAACTATATACAGAGTACATACATTGTGGGTGGCACCTGACATGCTCTCATTTGTAGTATACTCCGTATTACTGGTACCTGAATTCCTGCCTAGATTGGCGTCAACCGAATTGCCATGCAGCGTGACTGAGTCCCTGAAAAAAAAACCTGGCAGCTCTCGTGGGACAAATTCTCGGCTTATGTTGGACGCATGACTGCCAGACATCTTCAGCTGGTTTCCATATATCCTTCAACTCGCAGCTCACATTTTTAAGACCGCTCTCGCCTCCCCTCGCTTATGGTCTCTTTCTCTCTCTCCGCACTGCACGGCTACCGTACTATATTTATCGACTAGAAACCACCTCCGTTCAAATTTGAGACATTTGGGGAAATATCCAAGTCCTAGGTACCCTGTCGCGTAAATTCCTGGTTCATGAATGTCGATACTTACTGCTGTGGGCAATAAACAACTCCTATCCACACTAATGACCACTTGCTGAATCTGGTACTTATTCTTCTTCTAATATGCTCTGCAAAGTATCTATACAAAGAGCCCCTCCGAGCTGCAGCGGCGATCATGCACACAACAGCACTACCATCCTTTTTAGGTTCTGCTAACTTACATGCCATACTACAAATACAGAGGCTCGTCTATACTTACACGTGTACGTGTAGGGGTAGGCATGTATGCTGTGCTTGGCCCCCTACACTATGCTCTAATTAGTGATTGTATGTACTCGTAGTGCAATTCCCCATGATCTTCCCATTGACGTGAAAATCAACCAGGAACAAAAAAAAAGATAGACAACAAAAATTACCGAACTACTTCAGTTACCGCAACTCCCGCCATTGACGTCAACGATAGCGGTGCCAGGCCCGGAGCGCCCACCATCCTCTTTGAGCAGTTTTCCTTTTTCGCATTGTGCTCGAGGAAGATACGGTATTGGGTAATTTCCCCGAAGCTCTTACATGCAGCTGGGTGGAGGTGAGGGGTTGGTAGCGAGAGAATTGTCTGTAGGGTTTTCCCCTGTCTTTTTCTTGATTCAAGATACCAAGTTGAGTGAGGTTCACACTAGGGGGAAATGAGTCTTGTTTCTTTCGGTCGAGCGTTCGGCAGTAGCGCGCTTGATGTTCACCCTTCCCTCTCTCTCTTAGTGTGGTAACAAAACGCGACCCCCAGACGCGACCGGGGGAGAAAAGAAATCCCCCAGCGGCCGAGGGTCATAGCCACCCTCTCAGCTGGAAGAGCGAAACATAAAATAAAATGAAATCTTTTTATTTTTACATTTTGTTCTTTTCTGTGTCTCGGTTGTCTGTTGCGGATTTCGGCACGCCCGACCGCCCACATCGCGACGATATCTAACCCTATGGAGTTGGCTCAATGAGGTAGCATTCTTCAACCCGCCCTATCTCCCGTCGAAATATGCGGGCTGTTCTTCTTTCGATCATCAATGCGTCAGACATCTGTGGGCCAGATTCTCCTGGGCAATAGTCGACGGAGGGGGGAGGGAGGGTAGCGAGCGCGCAAAACACACAAGCATCGGTGAGTTTGGAACATATCAATGCATGCATTTCATTCCACGGTTGCTAGTGTAGCCTCGGATGAGCTGCCGTGACGCCAAAAGGGTCGGCGCACACCACTGTACACTAGCGGTGTCTGTTGTCTCTATGTATGTATGTCTGTATGTATGTAGGTAGGAGACACTAGATAAGTACTTTGCACGAGATCGGTCTAAGGTAGGAACCAAAGCGATCTGACAACGATTGGCGCAAGCGTCGGGGGTAGATGGTGAGCTGTCGCTTGTCGCTAACCTGTTAGATCCCGTTATATATCAAAGAATTGATGGGGTCGCCAAGTGGTGAAGATAACAGTTACGATTCTGGCAGGTTTCACAATGCCGTGTTCTTTGTAACATGCCACTCGCTACCACGGCCGTCACGCTGCTGCATTGTGTGTTATTCAAGTACTGGCCAGCCATCACAGCGTCACATCAGCTGTATGTATGCGCGGACAGAAATTGGCCGGCGAGTAAAGTCCAATAGATCATGAATTGCCTGGACAAAGCAGGGTGGCTTGCATTACCACCAGCAGAGCGCTCACAACTTGATTGAAATCGCAGCTGCTGCGTGTTGTCCTTGGGTCCTTACCGCCTGACTGGGAATATATTATGTCTTAATTAACTGTGGCTTGCTGCTGAGAAGGCACGGGACAGTGCCATGACACGAGCAAGCCACCAGGCTGACAACATCGCCGCGCTGCGCTTACAAGGCGCCGAAAAGAAACAGCCGAGACAGACACTTTCACTTCACCACGAACATCACCTTCCAGCAGAGAGCAGAGAGCGAAATTTTCTAGATGCTAATTGTGGAGAGGTCGCTGGATTACGAGCCTACGCGTACTTAATGCATGCAATTTTTTCGAGCTGAGAGCTGCTGGGCTAATAATTGGAGAGTTCAAAATATAGCTCCCTTGCTTGTGCCCCAGTTGCAGGGACGCCTATTTTGACTCTTTTTGAAGGGGCAATTTTAGTAATTAATTGAGCACTGTGGCGATGCCGGAAGCCGCTTTTTTTGACGTATCGAAAAAGTTCGGCAAAACTTGCATGCTTTTCGTCCAAGCATTGAATGATGCGGAAATACTGTCACTGTGGGTGACTATCCCCGGTGCTGTATAAAATTATTTGGTACATACCTGTCCACGGAAAAGCCCGACCACGATGAGCAATGGGATCGTTAGTTCTCATCCTGGCAATAAAGCAAGGCTTACAAAATTCAGGTTCGTCTATATATAGCACATAACTTTATTCTTCATTCCTTCGTGACGTTAAATGTGTGACGACGCTATTATAGTTTCTATGCAATGCTTAAGTATAGGTAGGTATTACCGACTTCTGGAATGAATTAGGTAGACGGCTGTATTCTCGTTGGAAGGACTGAGCAACAATCGAGTCTTCATAATTCTCCACGTCGGTTGGCCGAATCTGGATAGAAGACGGACCCAAACTGTTACACAGACCGCAAGTTGTAATTAGACATCCGGCGCCCACCCAGAAAAGTGGTTTGTTTGTAAGTCCCGCGAACACACCGCTGAGGGTTTTAAAATACAGAGGATCGATTACCTATGCAACATAAATCAAATCTCTCTGTAGGTATCTATCTCGCGGGCGGGAAACGTTGATTGAATGGCGGTGGTGCCATCAAAAGCAGTTAACACCTAAAAAGCATTATCTACTCCGTAGACTCCGACGATTCGTGCCCGGAGGCTTTGGTTATCGCCCTCCGGGTTTCGGAAAAGTAAGAGTGGCAAGGCGGCGGTAACTAAATTCCATCTCCATGGGTCCAGAACATGTGTCACCTGCTAGTGTATAATACGTGGTATATATGATCAACCTGGCAGTTCAGCTTCTGCATTAAATCGCCATGAACACGACCTCACTGGCCGCCGCACGCCAATCTCGAGGCTCCCTCAATAGACAAACAGATAGGCACTGGAAATAATTACACGTCCCGCCTCACCACTGTCATGGCTTTCTCCGATCGACAAATGTAACGAGTAAGTATCCCAACCAGAAGCTTCAAGGTTCCACCCTGTTTGAGGATCCCCACAACTGTCTTCATAACCCACACATAAATTTTCTTACAAAATAATTGAGAGGCGTATGACGGAGACAAGAAGCAAATCACGTCTCATGACCAACTACCGCCCCGTTCATTTTATGTCTATCGCATTTTCGTACCATTCGTTGCAACCGCCAAGTCTCACAAGCATGAAAAACGTGTCGTCTACCTCATCCCGTGATAAGAATCAGAGTTTAGCAAATTAGAGTAGTATCGTAATGAGGAATCATTCTACGTATCTATTATTCTATCCTCCTAGCTGTAGAATGAGTGGATACACGGGACATAGTTATGAGACATGATTCTTGGACCGCTCCTCCACCGAAGCTCTGGCCTAAGTATGTATCACGGCTCTAAGCCGGTTGCCTCACAACCGTTTGGAAAGCCCACATACTCGTATCTCTCGAAGACGTTAGGATTTACATGATAGATAATGACCCTATCTGAGTAACGAAACGGTTCCTCAGAGATACATCACAAATACTCGCCGGCAGTCACTAGAATGGCGGCGTGTTGCGCAGCAATCATTCATCCAACCAGCCCGGTGGATTTGACTGCAAATAGAAGAGTCCATCCTTCATCGACCAGTCCCCATCTCGATTGGTCTAGTGGTAAGGATACCTGCTTGTCATCCATTGGTTCATGTGGTACTCCACGATAGTGGAGAACGGTAGCATTTCCAGAGCAAATCGCAGGTGGCCGGGGTTCGATTCCCCGATCGAGAGTATCTATTTTTCCCTTTCTTTTAATCGACGTACTATCATACTGGCTATTCCTCAAACGTAGTTTCGAAACAAAGTAGGTGAATGAAAACGAAGTCGATACGGCGCTAGATGGCAGATTCTCTATCGTTTTAAATGCCAATACGTGCTAAGGATTTAGTTTAGCTGGTTAATAATGGTACGGGGCGGACGTAGACCGCCTTGTGAATTATTTATCAGCCATCCATCCGCTTGACGAATCTAGATAGGACAACGTTGCACCATGGTTAAATAGATGGATGGGCTTTCCCGTCTCGGGGATAGACGACGAACTGTTATTTCAACCTCTCGAGTTGCGTAAAAAATAGTGTATACGACCCCAGCGGGCGATCTACCCTATCACAAGACGCGGCACATCGATGCATAGCGTACGAGGCCCAACCAACTCAGGGCCAAGTATGGTTTGGGTATGCCCGAATGGTCCCCTCGTCATTTACCAACGAAAACAACCCGTCTCGCAAGATCCCTACCAATACGGCCTAACATCTCCCTTCTAGCAAGTGAAAACTGCCGGTCCAGCAGGCTGGTAAGTCTTGCCGCCGTTATTGTAGATGTTGATGAGGAGACCGGGGTCGCTGCTCTTGTAGGCGCCAGGGAACGAAACCAGGCCCGATGGCGTCTTCGATCCGGAGCCGCCAGAGACGGTGATCTGGGCGCACGAGATGTAGAACTGTGCGCCGTTGACCGTGCTCGCGCTGTGTGTGTGTCCCGGGCGTGTTAGCTGCACGTACACTCCATACCGCGGGGGCCTTACAAAGCCGGAACCGACAATTGCCAAAGACGGGACAGGCCAAGTATGGAAAAGGAGATGAGGCACGTGGACCCAAGACCACAACTCGTTCGGGAATTTTCAGAGCATATCTGTAGACATCATACGATATGCATTCCGAAATTGACGAAGAAGCACGTAAATCATCCCGGGGAGTAGAAATATGTGCCCCGGAACAGAAACAATAGGCGAAAGAGGAAGAAAACTGACCTGTGGAGAGCGACGTGTTCAACGCGGAACAGGTAATCGCCATTGGCAAGGCACTGCGGGACCGTGAAGCTGACGGTAGATTTGCCTGCGACGATTCATGGCCGTCAGTATCATCTCCATCTATTGCCCTTCGTAACTTTTCCCGTCTCTAGGTACCGTATTCAACCCTCCCTCCCTCCCTACCACAGACCACCATAGAGAGAAGAATAATTACTCACCATTCGAGGGCCAGGTGTACTGTCCGCCGCTAGCAGTCGGCATGTCCTGGTAGACCTTGAACCAGACAGCGCCCGTACCAGCCCAGGTGGCAGCAGTCTGACCACTGGGGACCTTGGCCATGTAGGCGGAAAGGGCACCGGGGTGGTAGATGTTCGGGGCCACAGTCCACGAGACTTGTCCGCCGGCGGTGACGGGAGTGACGTTCGGGGCGCCGCCCGAGTTGAGTTGGTAACATCGGATCGCGTCGCTCGTGACGTCGGTCACAGGGCCATTGCTCTGCCAGTTGGCTGTCTATTTACCAGATGCGACTGTGTTAATAAACCACAACGATGAAAATAAAAATAAAGGTAGAGAGAGACTTCGTGGCCTCAAACGTTGCTGTGGAGGGGGGCCAACAGCCTGGGATGACACTGACCTGGCGGACTGAAGACCAGGCCGATGTGCCGGTGAGCTCGGGGAAGGTGTCTAAACGATCGTCAGTCTAACAATTACTCAAAGAGTACTGTTTCAAGATGCTGGCTAGCAGAAAACAATGGACAAGAACCAAAACATGAAATCTTTCAAGGTATATTCGTCCAACAACTCTGAGTGTGCGATGTGAAGGGACCATTTGCATCCCAAACGGCCGTGCAAGTTGAAAGAATACACGCGCGATATAATACGTATACATACAATGAGGAGCAGCCTGGACGGCTCCAGCGAGAAGAGCGACCGCAACCGTAGCCTTCATGTTGAACAGCGACTTGAGCGAAGATGATTGAGTGTGAGGTATGAGAGGCTGGCCAGCTGTTTGTACGAAGGGCCGCCTTTTCAACTTCTTGGCCGGAGGCAGGTCCAGGTGAAATGGGCCTTACAGCCTGGCATCCTCGTTATTCACTATCTCGGCGATGGAACGAAGAATGCCAAGTATCGGGTATACGAGCCGATGGGCAACGACAAACGGAGAGGCCATCGTGTGTACTGTAGGAACATCGTCGTAGTAGACGTTGCCAAGCTAGCAGGAATAGTCTAAGCGGAATGTGAGTTGCGAGAACCGGGTAAATAGGACTCGGCCGGATAGATTGTGTGTCCATTCATGAGCCATCATCTAAAGAACATTACCCACTCTAGACGTCCCGAGGTATCCAGGGCTTGGCGAAGTGGAAAGCATCAATCGTAGGCAGTGCCGTTGTGCGTTTTGAGTGATGATGACATCGCCCGGCTTGCTGAATTAGCTACGAGTTACTAGACATTTCAATGTCACAGATGGAAATGTCATTTGTTTGTTATGGACCTAGGCTCAGACAGTATTTAATGCTACCCAGGCGGTCCGATTTGCCTCCTATTGAGCGCAATTCAGATCGTTGTGTCTACCTACACATACGACTTTTGTGAGTCAATATGAAGTGGCTTGAGTTTCGATCTAGAGAGGGTCAGTAGATTACATAGCCAGTGTCCCATATTATAGCAAGCAAGGCTGCCAAGTAATTAGTCGGACGGGACGATAGGATACGCCGAATGCTGTGTCCTGTCTCAAGCTCAGTAGCCACGTGCTTTTAGCGACCTGCCCTTCATGCTTCCTGATAAAATCTTGAACAATGACGCGCGCGAATCTCAGTGAAGAGATACGCGACTCAAAGAAAACCAGTATTACCGTGTCTAATCAGTAGTTGAACCGTCTAGAGAACGCCATTTGTGCTTTTGGTGGTAATATGACACCGGAAATCCCGCAAATGTCGGGCTAGCGTCAAATGATTGTTTGTGCGGGCACCTGTAGTAAATTCAATTACCATCGCCGGTTACCGAGGGGCATAGCATTGGCGCCTCCACCGCCGCCACCACCACCTGACAGCTTTGTGAGTCTTTGACCTTACTTGAGATGCTAAGAGAACTTACCACGATGGCCACCACGACCGCCATAACGGCCACCATAACGGCCGCCGCCACCGCCTCCGCCATATCGCGCCATCTCGGCTAATCTCGGGTCGACTTGTTGCTTAGCTTCCTGAAGAACCCCAACGAGGTCACGAGCCTGTTTTGAGTCTGGTAAAGGAGGTTAGTCTACATTCTTCAGAGCATGAAGGGGGGCCGGGACATACTGTCAGTAGTAAAGAACGTGATTGCGGTACCCTTGGCACCAGCACGGCCAGTACGGCCAATACGATGAATGTAATCCTCCGAGTTGTTCGGATAGTCATAGTTGATCACATGAGTGATATTGCGCACGTCTTTATTACCAAAGGTTAGCTCAAGAAAACGAGTTGCTACGAAGCAAGTCCCAGCGGCGGATATGGGTGCCATAAGCATATTGTTCCGTGCTCTCTCCATGGAGAATGAAGCTGTGGGGGCTGTCTGTTGCATCAACACTGCTAATCTGGAAATGATCCCAATAGTCCGGTCCGGGTCCTCAGGAGTCGGGAATCTTAGAGACAGCTTGATAGAATCAAGAAATGCTCTAACATCGCCTACTTGTACCACAGAAAATCAGGTACGAGGCGAGACATCGACATGGCCCTCAGGCCATACCACAGATCCCGATCATCTAGTAGAAGAACCACAAGACACGATTAGGCCAGACATATGTGCGCAATCAAGAAAGCCCCTAGACATCACAGTCAAGCACATCGGATATAACTCTGCTGGAAGTTGTGGGGAGAGGGGGGGGATGGGGGAGTTTCAACCATACCAATACCACGAGAAGCCACATCGGTGGCGACCATGATGGGACTCTTGTTAGTCTTGAATTGATCGAGGACCCAGTCGCGCTCGTTCTGTTGCTTGTCGCCATGGATCGCTGCAGAAATGTTAGTGAAACGAAAACATACATGGCAGAAGTCGAGACGTACAAAGCGCTGGCCAGCCGTCTTGGCGTAAGAATCTTGTAATTTCGTCGGCAACACGTTTTGTGCCCACAAACAGAAGGCACTTATTCTCCTTGTTGTCCATGATTTTTTCTAAGTGCTTAATCATGCGGTCGCGCTTCTCACCCTCAGAGACAACCTCGACAATCTGGGTGATACGATGGTTTGCGGAAAGATCCATCGAACCAATATTTACTTGAATAAAATCAGTCTGAAACTCCGAGGCCAAAGCTCGAACCTCCTTGGGCCAGGTGGCAGACCACATGAGTGTCTGACGGTCTGGTCGAATCTGGCCGATAATTTTTCGAATCTGGGGTTCGAAACCCATGTCAAGCATACGATCGGCCTCATCAAGGACCAAGTATGTGACACGGCGAAGGTTAGTCTTGCCACCCTCCAGCATATCGATCAAACGTCCAGGCGTGGCAATGCAGACCTCGACTCCTTTCGACAAATCTCGGATCTGCGGACCACGAGGAACGCCTCCATATACGCATGTATTGCGAATTCGCGACGATTTACCAAATTTAGTTATCTCTTGCTGGATCTGGACAGCTAATTCTCTTGTGGGAGCCAGTACGAGAACAATAGGACCATCACCAGGTGCAAGTAAGGGCTGGGCGTTGATGTGGACAATAGCGGGAAGGCAGTACGTAAGCGTCTTTCCGGAGCCTGTCTCGGCAATACCAACGACATCGCGGCCAGAAAGGGCCATAGGCCAACCCTGGGACTGGATAGCAGTAGGAGCAGGAAAGCCCTGGGCTTTCACCTCATCCATGACGTATCGAGGGAATCCAGCTTCGTCAAACGTCTCGACGGGCTTGGGTACGTCATGACCAGCGACTGTGATCTGATGGTCACGTCGAAATCGATCGACCTCGGTAGTAGGTCGTGAGGCAACGGCGTCGTCTTCCTTGTAGAATGAC